CTATATAACTAATATATATATAGAAATTAGATAATATAAATATAAAATAATTAGATATATAAAACTATAGTATAGTATAATTTTTATTATTATTTTATTAATTAGTGATTTGCTAGTCAACCAGAAAGAAATTATAGTATAATATAACATGGTTTATATATAGAAATTAGAGTTTTGCAAATACAAGCTCCTTCTATTTAAAACTTTTTTTGTACTAAATTAGCTATTTTTGAGCTTTTAATTGAAGTTGTAGAGCTTGTTAAAATTATTCTAATAGTATTTAACTACATAACATGGTTTATATATAGAAATTAGAGTTTTGCAAATACAAGCTGCTTCTATTTAAAACTTTTTTTGTACATAGTTAACTATCTTTGAGCTTTTAATTAAAGTTGTAGAGCTTGTTAAGATTAATCTAATAGTGGTTAACTCATTAAAATTAGTTGGTAAATCATAAGATATCTTCAAAAAATATTTTATTAACTATATAAATTTCTTTTTCAATAATAGTATTGTTGAAAAAAAGTTTATATAGTTAGTAAAATATTTTTGAAGATATTTTATGATCAATGAGCTTTACAACTTCAATTAAAAGCTCAAAGGTAGTTAACTTAGTACAAAAAAAAGTTTCAAACAAAAATAGCTCATATTTGCAAAACTCTAATTTTTATATATAAGCTATATTATGTTATACTATGATCTCTTTCTAGTTAACTAGCAAATTACCAATTAAAGAATTTATTTTATAGTACTATAGAACTATTTAAGATTCAGATTAACTCTTCTTAATAATCTTTTGACTAACAACTAAAAAAACTAAACTACAAAAAAAGATTATAGAAAATGCTAAAGTAAATAATAAACTTAGTTTTATAAAAGTAGATGTGTTGTCAATGAAGTATCAAGAGTGTAAAACTAGAAAGTATACTACTTTAAACTAGTTTTTGTAGAGATAAAGCTTTGATTGGTAGACTTTTCTATTATATTCGGTATCCAAACCAGAAGGATATTTAAGAAATATAGAATAATTAAATTGATATTAAAAATATTATAAACTTTGGATTATCTTTATACAACTATAAAACTTATAAGAAAAAACTACAAAAAGTCTTATTGGCCTTTCACTTTTTTTGAATAAATTTTGTTAAGAAGTAGACATCTTAATTTACCTCTTCTAAAAGATTGATATATAATTTTACAAATCAGTTAGTATTGTTGATTATCCAAAACAGGAGGCTACTACTTTAATTATTTACTATATATAAATTAGTTAGAATTTATAATACAGTCAACTCTCTCTAAGTGTATAGGCTAGGGCTAATAAAAAATTTTATATTTAGAGAGGTTTTGCATTTAGAAAGATAAAAATCTATAAGTATCATATATATTTGAACCAAGACAAAACTATGCATTTAGAAAGATCTGACTATACTATATATAATACTTTGATTTTTAATAACTATTTTTGCAACTATAATAGGTTATATAATAATAACTATTTCTATAATTACAACTATTCTTGCAACAATAATTGTTTTTATAGCTATAGTTATTAATTACAAGTATTTAGCAAAATATTTAAACAAAATTTTATGGAACAAATAATTTTTGCTACAAAATTAGTAGTTGCTATATAAAATAATAACAATAATTATCCGTTAGATTACTATAATTAGGCTGCTAAATAATTCGGGTTATTTGGTAGAAAAAAGTTTATTTTGGTTATTTGGCAAAAATTGATAGTTTATTTTGATTATTTGGCAAAAAATGATAGTTTATTTTGGTTATTAGACAAAAATTGATACATACGTACGTAGCTTATTTTATTTTATCAAGATGTATTGTATATATGTATATATATATTTTACAAACATATCTAGTATGCTGTATAACATATTTTGCTATATACTTTTAAATAAATTTAGAAAAAATTGAAGTATTCAAGTAGTTTCTTATATTTTAAAATTCTCTAGAGGTATCAAAGTACTTAAACTCATCTTTTATATTTTAAAATTCACTAGATAGATCAATGAATTAAAAATAGTAACTTGTTTTGTAAATTTCTGATAGTAGGAGATTTCAAAATTAATATGTAAGAATCTAATTTTGACAGAAATAGATAATATATTTATTTTTAAATAAGTAATATATTGACTTTATTTTATTTCTGATAAATTTGTAATAATGATTTTTGTTATTGTTAAAAAGTTTGTTTATTTCATTAAATAGAAATCTCATTTTCTAATTTCAAAATTTGATACATGAATAAAGTGTTTTAAACTCTCACATATTTCCGAAACATGTTTTTTTTAATTTTAAATTTTATAGTTTTAAAATTCTCTAATAATTGAAGCATATACAGTATAGTTTTACAGTCTTTTAGATAGGGTGAAGTACTTAAAAAAGGTTTACGATTGAATAATTCAAAACAACTTAGCAATTTTTTTTGTAATAAACACTCTTATACTATTTCTTGCTTATATGATACAATTTTTATCTTTTTATTTAATATTATATATTTTTAATTAAAACTTATTTATTCGCTTCATATTATACTCGATCATCGTAATCTAACAAATAATACCATTATTGGACACTACGCACCAATAACTGTTATATCTGGGCCAGAATCTAATCAGAAGATATCTGGGCCCCTGTGGGGCCCAGCTATCTTCTGATCAAATTCTGGCCCAGATACTTTCCATTATCTGTCATATGTAATAATAATATCATAATCATACAGATCATGATATTATCATTATAGCATGCAAAATAACTTCAGTTATTGGATACTTCGTATCCAATAACTATATATTATTTTTTAATAAATAGAAATTATAAAAAAGAGATAATTCTTCTATCTATTTTTTATATAAACAAACAGGTTATTATATCTAAGAATATTTTAATATTAATTTACATAATATAAATACAAATAGCCTACTAGCATCTAATTAAAATAATAGTAAAATAATTAATAATATAAAGACAAATAACTTTACAAAAACTTGCAAATTTGTAACTTTAATATTACTTGAAATTTGCTATAAAGTTACTATAAAGTAACTATATAGTTACTTTATAGTAACTATAGTTTTGCATTTGCAACATGTTAGCAATATGTCTACTACTACTTACTACTATATTTCTACCAGTTTACTACTATTTTACTATACTTTTACTACAATTTTATTAAAATTTTTTTGTAAAACTACTATTTTACTAATAAAATTGTAGTAAAAATATAGTAAAATAGTAGTAAACTAGTAGAAATATGTCACAAATGCAAAACTATAGCTACTATAAAGTAACTACATAGTTACTTTATAGTAACTTTATAGCCAATTGCAAGTAATATTAAAGTTGCAAATTTGCAAGTTTCTGTAAAGAAGTCATCTAAAGCTCAAATAATATTTGTTTAAATCAAAAATAAATTTGAATATTTAAACTAAATAATATATCTTTAGAAGATAAATATATATTAATATCTAAAATTCTCTTAATAATAAAAATTAAAAAAATCTATTTTGCAAAAAAGTAATAAAAGAATAATAAAAATTTTGATGATATTAAAATTTCAGTCAGCATATCACTTCGGAATCTTATTATCGAAAACTACATGTTTATTAAAATTATCGAAATTTGCAAATTTCATCTTGTATCCCACCAAATCAGCTGTAGGCTATTAATTAAAGTTGTTTATAATCCAGGTGATTGCGAGAAGCATAGAAGAAACTCGTATCTGATAGATTTTGAAATTATTGTTACACAAACTATTTATATGGACAATTGAAAATTTGATATATCATTGTAGTCTAAAAACCGTCACTTTCACTATATTCTTACTCAAAATAAGTTAAACTAAAGGTATCAAATTTATCAATAAAGTTTCTTCGTTTAGAGTGTTTCTAGTAGAAAATCTTTTCTAATCGTTTTCAATCGCTTTCCCCATGGAGTTTTGTTTAAATTATTAAGCCAAAGCTTAGATTTATAAAATGTCAAAACGTGAAGGTTATACCAATATAAGATTTTACATATTTATTAAATAGGCCAAGCAATATAAAGCTTTTAACAAAGGTTATTTCAGTATTTACTCGAACAAAGAGCATATATTTGTATTATTTATCAAACAGAAAAGAAACTAAGATCTCTAATGTATAGTAAATATGGTGATACGGTCTAATTGATAGTATAGTCCAACAGTAGTAACATATGACATGTTTTTGGTAAAGTATAATAGTTAAAAGATGGGTTAGAATTACTTTAGCTTTAAAAAAAGCTTCGCTTTTGTTATTAATAAATTTATTTCGTGTATCGAAAAAAATTTAATTTGATTGGTCAATAATCACGCATGGATCTACATAAATTAGCCAATCACATAAATATTATAACCGTGATTTTCCGTAAGAATACTATGCTATTGCGAGATCGGTACCAAGGTTATTTCTCCCCGCTTCAATACTTTTATTATCTTAATCAAAATAATCTCTTTAATATGAAATGATATATACTGCAGCATCATCAAGAAGAATCACTTTGCTAGATTATAAGAATTCTCAAAATTGATTTTAGAATTCTCGATGTTGATTTTAGAAACTTTAAACATAACATCTAAAAACATTAAGTGGGTTTATTTAATTAAATAATACAAATACAATATTAAATCTATTAATACAACTAATATTGAAGGAAAAAACAATAATTTTGGACATAATTTGCCCTCATCAGCTTTGTCAGAATAGTTTATGTGCAAAAAAGAATAAATTTTTCGGAATTGAAGAAATAATTAATATACAAAATGACATTAATTTTTTTTAACTCTCATAATAAACAAAACTTTAAATGATGACATATAGTCCGTTCTTTTGTTTTTTTTTGTTTATAAAAAATTCACCAGGAAATTTTATAATAAAAGACCCGGCCGAATTATGAGATTCAAATAGTAAAATAAATAATTCATGTTACCATGTGGTAATTCAGATATATTTTTTTTATTAATTTCATATTGCCATCCCAAAATCTTCGTCTTCATCAACCGAATAAAAAGAATTTTCATAAGTGTTCGACCGATTATAGCAATGTTCACACACCCATCGCCATCGTCCATTTTCCATCACAACACGTGTGAGACCACCCCATTCTTTTCCTTGATCATTCATAGCTAAAAAAGTCTCAAGTTCTCGTAACGCAGCACCTTGAACAACTTTCATTCGACCAACAGGGTCTTTTTTTGTTTTCTCAATATCTCTCGTTTGTTCTGAATATGTAATCTCTGAATCAAGAATTTGTGTAAGTTGTTTAAAATATTCAGTAGGTCGAATTGCAGCGCTAGAAATTATGTCACATATGCTAGGTGGCATATTCATACGAAAAGCATGACCAACCTAAATAAATAAAAAAAGTTGTAATAATTCAAAAGTTATTCAGAAGTTATAGTTATTTCAAAAAAATTTTAAAATAAAAAAAGTTTGCTAACCCCTGCAGAGACTATTGTCGCCATTATAGAAAGATATGGTCCTGCCTTTCTTAATAAAGGCTTTGGATCATGGATTTTGTAACCCACATGATTTGTAAAATGTGCTCCCTGATTATTTGGATCTAGACCCTCACAAAGAAGATGTAAGATAAATGTATTCTTCCCCCAAATATGTGGTTTGAATACAGATCTACCTTCTTGACCTGGTAATAAAACATATAAACGTGGTATTGCTGCATCTACCGTGTCGGTTATACTATTGACTACTGCATCAATTTGTTTGAGGATAAGATTTGTTGTTTCTTGTAGGGTTGAGAGAATTGTGTTGGTATTTTGGTTTACTGCTGTAATAATACGATCGGTTGACTCGTTATGTAGTGAAGTCAACTAAATACGTAATAAAAGATATACGTATAAGTAAATGATTGCTACAGAATTACTACGTATATTTTATTATTTCAAGATTACTAACCTGTTTAGTGTCCAAACCTGAATTTAAAAAGGCTGAACGAAGAATTTGTTCGCACGAAATTCTTTCTGATGGTTTAATAGCCAGCATTTTTGACAAAATATTTCTAGCTTGCTGATCAGGAATTTTATTGAGTGGAAAATCTACCAACTCTCCTTTGGCAAAACTTTTAGTTAATTTGTCAATGGCTTCTTCTTCAGAATAGAAAAGTGGTGTGTTTGTATATAGTTCAAAAATTATACAACCCAGTGACCATATATCCATTGAAGTTGAAGCAACTATAGACTGATTATTATGAGCCGCATTTAATACCTCAGCTATAAAAAATTAGTGATGTGGTTAACGCAACAGAATTTATAAATATTATAAACGCATCAAACTTTTGTAAATATTTAAAAAAAAAAAAAAAATCAATGAACACTTACGTGGGCAATACATAGGTGAGCAATCATCGACCCATTCCTCTCCTACAAATCTGGCAGCTTCAAAATCCACAAGACGCCTTTCCAATTAATGATAGAAAAGAATTACATACAGTACTAAACTGATTCATGAAATCAATCTTTCATTAAAGTTAGAACTTACCATGATGTAAGATCATCCTTTTCATGTACAAAATTACCGGGTTTAATGTCCAAATGAGCAACATTATGGGTATGAAGATAATGAATTGCTTGTGTAATCGATTTAATTAACAGTTTAATATACAGAACATCCATTGAGGATAGTTTGGTTATAATTAACTTATCCATGCTTTGAGGATAATAATTTAATATTATTACATATGGCCAATCTTTTTTTGACGGAAGTTCATATAGTGCTAACAATTCACCGACATGACGAGAGCGCAAGTATTTAAGCATAACAACTTCTCGTTCAAAAGATTCAGAATTCTGAAAGAATTTGATAGCAACTTGATCATCTGTTTGTTCATCAATAGCCTGACGTATAGTATTATTACCACCATAAGCTGAATTTCCGCAAAGTTTATAACGTTGAAGGATGATAGTTCCAGTAGGTGCAGATGGCGTTACTAGAACAACATCAGGTTGATCATAAACCATAGCGTTAAGCTTATGACGACTAAATACTTCATCTTTAAATCGAGTGTTGGAAGTAGGTACGTGTACACGTATAGTATGCGGAGCTCCTGTTAATGTTGTCAATGTAGAATTTGACGAATTTGAATTTGAATAAAAACCGAGTTTTGGAATATCATGATCTTTATCGGAAGATAAATTAAATTGAGCCGGATGATACGCTTTTAAATTGGATTTATGATCTAACGAAGGATTTTGGTCAAAATCATCGCCTTTTTCGAACGAGTGTAATTTTGATTTTTCATTCTTTTTCTTTCGATAGACCCGATAGACCCTATAGCAGATGAACGTGATAATAACTAATAAAATAGGTAACAAGCCCCCTCCTATGGCAATATATAACCTCATAGATGAATTATTGCTTGTTGAATTTTCTGAATTGCCTGCTGGACTATTTTTGCTGGTACTATTTCCTTGTGAAACGGAAGAGGGGGATTTTAAGTATGGGTCATCCTGATTAAGTGCCAAAGGACCACCAACAAATTTGTCCATTGGTGCATCTGTCACATAGTTATAGGTAGTAACCCACGCTCTTTGAGTCATGTTGAAGATTAACATATCGGCTGTATTTCCAAGATAGGTGTTTATATCACCAAGCGCACTACTATTTTTTGTGCTTCCACCATAGGTCTACAACAGTTTAAAAAATTGTTAATAGCATTAAGGTCAAACGAAACAAATCAATTATTTGAAAAATGCGTACAATTAAAGCGTCACTGCCAACAAGCTGTGTACTAGCACAATAAGCATGACCTACTGTGGACATAGGTCCAGAATTGTAAGTATCAAAAGAATTGTTTGATAACGTCTGTTGAAAAGATAAAAAAAAAACAATAAATTACTGATACATATACATATACACATATACACATATACATAAGTACATATAATTTTTTTTTTTGTAAAAATAGTTTTGAAATAACTACCCAAACTCTCATTCCAGATGGACCAGAACTGTCATCGGAAACTATATAAAAAGTATCATTTAGATGTCCTACATGTCCATTTAACCATCCGGTAGGCATTGATGCTTTTGGATCAAACCATTTTCGCGTGGGAACATTGAATCCCCATACATCGGCGAATAAACCGCCATTAAAATCCGAACTTCCACCAATTATGTACACATTATCTTTAGAATACGTCATACCAAACAGTCCATTTGGTGGTGGAGTTGTTTTGTCTAATGGTATCGTTTCCCATGTCATATTGGAAATATGAAGTAAGTATGTATCATTTGACGGAGATCCACCAAATTGAAATAGTACTTCTTCACCAGCAGAAGTAGTAAATATAACAAGGCTGTGGCTATTACGATACGTGAGGTATTTAACAGTATCAAGGCCTGTAGTTTGTGGCGTATACCTTTAAATGAAAATGAAAATGAAAATGATAAGAAATCATTAAGTATATTCTCAAAATAAAATTGACATCAGCCAACGCATACCATGTGCCACTTGTTCCTTTGGTTAGATCAAAGGCTTGTATACCTTTATAATTCAGGTCAGTAATTGTTCCTCCACCTGTCACTATTAATACAGCAGAAGAAGTCACACCACAAGCCGGTCTGCTACTCGCATTATGTGAGCCAGTCGTAGGCATTGCGACCCATTTCAATTTTGAAGTATCAAATGGAGCCTCAACATAACTGAACCAACTATTCTGTGCATCATTACCAGTCCCACCAAATACATATACTTTATTTCCATAAGCTGCAAGGCATGCACTCTCTCGAGGTCCCGGCTCCGGCTTTAATGGAGGTTGCTGCGCATTAGTTTGAATTGATGAAAAAACGGCTAAAAATGAAAATATGTATAATAATGAGATGTTTAATTTGATGTTCAATTTGATTCTTATCATCGGTGACTTCATAGTTTTATAGTGTATGGGCGAAAAGAAGGAATAATTGTTTTTTAGAGCACAGCAAGCGAGCGAATGCTACGCCGTTGTTTTACGGTAGAGAAAGTTAATTAGTATATTGTTTTAATCTTAAGGATAATGTAGTGTGTTTATGTTATTATTCTAAAACGGAAGTCATCGAAATTGGTTTGTATCATCGGTATCCACGTTACAATTTACACATACATATATGTGCATTATTAGAAACCAATCATCATCATGAAATTAATGAATGTTTATGTCCGAGGAATGACAAACATTCAAAACTGTAATGTTATGTCTAATAATGTATTCAAATAAACAGATTACAAGATTAATTAACTCTATTAATGCAGTTTTGTTATTACATTCAAGTATATAATTATAAATGTACAAAACCTTAATAGGAATTAACTAATAACTAATGGTATAATTCTCCGAGACTCAATCTGAATAGCTTTCTTAAAAAAAAAATAATTTCAAATTAACTTTTTAATATGAACTCTTCTCCAATAAACTTGGTCACAGCTTAAATGTGAATATAATTGTTCTAATTACTAAATATACATAATAGTATTCAAGGTTACCTCTTTATTAACCGTTAATTATTTACCACGTTTCTTTTGCGTAGCATATGTTCAATATAACCTAATATTTAGTCCATCAAGTCATGGACAATTCTATGTTGTGATACAACCTTGCACGATATCAATCACTCAAAAGACCA